CTAAGGACTAAACTTTGAACTCAAGGGTGCTCTACCACTGAGCTACATCCTTAGCCCCTTTTTTTTTTGTATCTTGAGACACAATCTCACGAAGTTCCCAGGCTGGCCTCCAACTTGTGATCCTCTGTCTCAGCCTCCAGAGTAGTTGCAATTATAGGTATGTGCCACCATACCCAGTTCCCTGCTCCATTATTTCCTTTTTCCTGCAGGACTTAAATTCAGTTTGATTTTTTTTTTTTTTTTTTGTAGTTGTAGATGGACAGCATGTCTTTATTTTATTTCTTTTTATCTGGTGCTGAGAATTGAACCCAGTGCTCTACCACTGAGCTACAGCCTCAGCCCTGATCTACTTTTTTTAGTTTCTTAAATAGTAATGTTGATTTGAGATCATTATGCTTTAACAGATATGAATTTCCCTTTGAGTACTGCTTTTACAATATCCCTTAAGTTTGGGGATGTTTTAAATTGGTCTTACAGTATTTTATAATTTTCCTAGTGGCTTCTTCTTTGACCCATTTGTTGTTGAGAGTGTGTTTATTTTCTACAGATTTGCAGAATTTCCAGTTTTCCTTCTGCTATTGGCTTCTGGTTTCATTTCATTATAATCAGAGAAGATACTTTGTATAAATTTCAATCATTGTGAAAATTTATTGAGAATGTTTTTTAAAAATTTTTTTGGGGGCTGGGGATGTGGCTCAGGCGGTAGCGCGCTCGTCTGGCATGCGTGCGGCCCGGGTTTGATCCTCAGCACCACATACCAACAAAGATGTTGTGTCCACCGAGAACTAAAAAATAAATATTAAAAATTCTCTCTCTCTCTCTCTCTCTCTCTCTCTCTCTCTCTTCTCTCACTCTCTCTTTAAAAAAAAATTTTTTTGTAGTTGTTGATGGACCTTTATTTTATTCATTTATTTATATGCGATGCTGAAAAACAAGCCAAGGGCCTCACACATGCTAGGCAAGCGCTCTACCACTGAACTACAACCCCAGCCCTGAGAATGCTTTTGTGGGCTAACGCCTATGTTAACAAGGAATAGTGACCTTTAATTTTGTTTGTTTGTTTTCTGGGGTGGGGGGATGGGGATTGAACACAGAGGCCTCTACCCCTGAGTCATATTTCCAGCCCTTTTTATTTTGAAACAGGGTCTCACTAAATTGCAGAGTCTGGCTTTTAAACTTGTGATCATCCTGCCTCAGCCTCTGGTGGAGCTGGAATGACAGGAATGTGCCACTGTGCCCAGAGGGTTCTTTTGTTGAATGTTTCTTTGGCTTTCATATCAGGGCAATACTGAGTTAGAAAAAGTTAGGAAGGATTCCCTCCTCTCAGAATTTCTGAGAAAAACTAATGTTAATTCTCCTTTAGATATTTGGTAGAATTCACCAGTGAAGAAGACTGTTGGAAGATTTTTTTTTTGCTTTGGTTGTTTTGTTGCAGTGCTGGGGATGAACCCGGAGCTCTACACTGGGCAACACCCCCAGGCCTATTATTTTTTACTTTGATACAGGGCCTCATTATAAATTGCTGAGACTGGCCTTGAACTTGTGATCCTCCTGTCTCATCCTCCCTAGTTACTGGGATTACAGGCATGTGTCCAGGTCCCTGGCTGTTGGAAATTTTTTTAGTATTAAGATTTTTTAGGGGAGTGAAGGGAGATGTGGGGCTGTGGGGATGGCAAGGAAGGTGGAGTGACAGACGTTGTTACCCTCTACGCATGTATGCTTACACCACTGGAGTGACTGCACCATGTGCAGCCATAGGAAGGAGAAGCTGTGTGCCATCTGTGTACAGTGTGTCAAAATGCATTCTATTGTCATGTACAACTAATTACAACAAATTTAAAAAAAATTTTTTTAAAAAGAAGGTTCAGAGGAGAAATGATTGGGTTATGGCCTTAACCTAGTCAGTGAATTCATCCCCTGACTGGGATTAACTGAAGGGTAACTGAAGTGGTAGAGTGTGGCTGGAGGCAGTGGGAACTGGGGTGTGGCTTTGGGTATATATTTGTACCTGGTGAGCAGATTCTGGCTCTGCAGCCCCATCACCACAGGAGCTGCTTCCCTCTGCCACATTCTTCGGCTATGAGGTCTGCTTCCCTTTATGCCTGGAGGACTGGGGCCGCCTTCTGTGGACTAAGACCTCTGAAACCCTGAGCCCTGATATAAACTTTTCCTCCTCTAAAAAAAATTTAAAAAAAAAAGATTTTTGTGTATGTGGCCTGACTGACATGTTCTGGAGAACATATGTCTGGAGAATGTTCCATGTGCCCTCAAGAAGAACCCATGCTCTGCTGTTGTTGGGTGGAACCTTCTATTTGTGACCGTTGGATCCAGTTGGTGTAGTGTTTTTGAAGTCCTCTATTTCCTTATTTATCCATCTGGATCTCCTAACCATTATTGAAAATGGGGTACTGAAGTCTCCAAAACTGTAATTGTGGAATTGTTTCTAAATATGTTCTCACTTGTATGTGAAATCTAAAAACATCAAACCAAGAAGCAGAGTATAGTACAGTGGTTATAAGAGGCTGGGATGTGGGGGATGGGGAGATGTTGGTCAAAGGGTATAAAGTCGCAGTCAGACAGGAGGAGTAAGTGGTAAGTATTTAAGGTGATGGATATGTTACTAGCTTGATTCAGTCCTTCCACACTATATATATGTAACATTGTTTTGTACCCTATAATTATGTAGGATTCTAATTCAACAACAATCAAAAACCTTAAAAACAGAGGTGTAACCCAGTGGTAGAGTACATACTTAGAATGCATAAGGTCCTCAGTCCAATCTGACACTGAAAAGAAACCAACACAAAACACTGAAGCCAGATGCAACAGCACAGGCCTGAGATGCAGTCACTCGGGAGCTGAGGCAAAAGGATGGCAAATGCGAGGCTAGACTTAGCAACTCAGTGAGACCTTGTCTCAAAACAAAATTAAAAGAAGCCGGGTGCGGTGGCTCACACCTGTAATCCTCCTGGCTCAGGAGGCTAAGACAGGAGGATCACAAGTTCAAAGCCAGCCTCAGCAATAGCGAGGCACTAAGCAACTCAGTGAGACCCTGTCTCTAAATAAAATACAAAATAGGGCTGGGGATGGGGCTCAGTGTGCAAGTGCCCCGAGTTCAGTCCCTGGTACCAAAAATAAATAAATAAATAAATAAATTAAATTAAAGGGCTGAGTGCAGTGGCACACCCCATAACCCCAGCAGCTGGGAGGCTGAGACAGGAGGATGGGAAGTTTAAAGCCAGCCTCAGCAAAAGCAAGGTGCTAAGCAAGTCAATGAGACCCTGTCTCTAATAAATACAAAACAGGGCTGGGGATGTGGCTCTGTGGAAAAGTGCCCCCTGAGTTCAATCCCTGGTAACCCCCATCCCCCAAAATGGGCTGGGGATATAGTTTATTGTCCCTGGGTTCTAACTCCAGTACAGCAAAATCTTTTTTTTTTTTTTTGGGGGGGGGTGTGATGCTGGGGATTGAACCCAGGGCCTTGGGCATTTGAGGCAAGCACTGTCCCAACTAACCTGTATCCCCAGCCCCAGCACAGCAAAATCATAATTATTACAAAAAAAAAAAAAATTAAGGGCTAGGGTGTCACTCAATGGTAGAGCAATTGCCTACCTTGCATGATACCCTGAGTTTGATCTTCAGTACCGAAAAAAAAAAAAATGAAAAATAAGTAAATAAATAATGCTCCTATGAACATTCACAAATGTATATGTTGAGGACAAACATTTTCATTTTTTTTTTCTGGGAGTGAAACTGCTTATTTATCATTAGATAGGTTCATGTATTTTTTTGTTTGTTTGTTTTTAGATAGGTTCATTTTTATAAAAAATTCCCAACAGATTTCCAAGAATATAGAGCAATTTCTCAGGCTGTGGCTGTGGCTCAGTGGTAGAGCACTTGCCTAGCGTGTGTAAGCACGGAGTTTGATTCTCAGCACCACATACAAATAAATGAATTTTTAAAAATAAAGGTTTATTAACATCTAAAAAATAAATAATAATAATAATAATTTCTCCCTTAACTTCTGTCAATATCTGTTTTATATATTTTTGGACCCTGTTTTTCAGCATGTATGTTTGCAATTTCTGCAACTTCTTGATGAACTGACCCTTTTATCAATATAAAATGTCCCCTGTAGTCTTTATTTTGTGACTCCTGCCTCAGCCTCCCAAGTAGCTGGGATCCCGGGTGTGCGCCCCATGCCCAGCTCTCTCCCCAGAGTACAGCTCCTTAAAGTTGTTCCGCAGCTCACTGGTGCCCTTTTCATATTTTTTCTTTCTTCTTCCATCCCTTCCCTTCCTTTTCTTTGTTTCTGCAATTTTTTCTCTGTTGTATTTATATTTGGATTTATTCTTGTTATGTGTCCAAGTTCATTTTCTTTTTTTCTATAATATTTTAGCTACCAGGAATCCCACTCAGTAGACACTTTCAGTTGACTCTGTGGATTTCATCTCCAGTTCAGTTTGGATTTTTAAAATATATTCTGTGACTTCATACTTAACTCTTGGTATCTATGGAATGCAGTTATGATAATGTTTAATATCTTCTGCTAGGCCTAACATCTGTATTATCTGTTCTTGATTCGTTTCAGTTGAATGGGTTTTTATTTTTATTATTTTCAATAGGAGTTGGTTGTGTTTTCCTGATCCTCTACAATATTACTGGATTTTTTGTTTTTTAAGTAATGGATATAATACCTTTGCTTTATTTATTTATTTATTTTGTTACTGGGGAAAGAACTCAGGGCAGTCAACCACTGAGCCACATCCCCAGTCCTATTTTGTATTTTGTTTAGAGACAGGTTCTCACTGAGTTGCTTAGCGCCTCGACATTGCTGAGGTTGGCTTTGAACTCATGATCCTCCTGCCTCAGCTTCCTGAGCTGCTGGGATTACAGGCATGCATCACCAAACCCAGTTTATTGTTTTATTTTTATGTGGAGCTGAGGGTTGAACCCAGTGTTTCACATGCTAAGCAAGCAACCTACTACCAAGCCGCAACCCCAGCACACCTCTGGATATTTTTAATGGATGCCAGATATGATGAATTTACTTCTTAGAACTGAATATTTTTTGCATTCCTATACATCTTGTTTGAGCTTTGTTCTGGAATTTAGTTAAGTCACTTGAAAACAGGTTGGTCTTTTCAGGTAGTGTTTTTATGATGTTTTCATGGGGTCTGGAGCAGGAGAACCCAAGGGTGAGAGAGGTGTTAAAGAAGGGGATGCACGAGTCCAGGCAATGACTGAAGCAGCACAGTTAGTCAGGGGAGCGTTGGGGACCTCATCCCATCCTATCCCTACCCCTTTTTGAAGAGGCGGCTGCAAGAAGAAGACTTGTGGAATTGGACTGCTCTCTGGTTGCTCATGGGATACAAAGCCTCAGTTCAGGAGAAAATGGGCCTCACCTGCAGCGTGGGAGGAACAGCTGCCAGGAAGAGTGTCTGTCACCTGACACCCCATCCCACCATTTCCTGGATGATCAGACCATGTCATCACACTTCTCAGGATGTCAGCTTGCTCAGTTCTAACTGGAGTTGCTTAAGCTGCCCTGGGTAGCTTGCACAGGTGTCCTGTCCTAGAAGAGAGGGAAGTAAAACATGTTGAGTCTGACATGGAAGCTGGGCCATTTCCACATACAACATGAGCACTGGACTGACTCACAGAGGACTCTCAGGAAATGTGGCTGGAAGTCCCAAGCACAAACCTGGGTATATGGGTAGACAAGAGGGCCTGGGTTCTCAAATTCATCACTTGCTCCCAAGTCCCTGCAAGACAAAGCCCTGGGTGGGTGGTCCTCCTTCTTTCCAGACTCAAAAGCCTGAGAGCAGCAAGAGATTCTAGGCTCCTGGGTTTGTTTCATTCTTTCCCTCTACCCAATTCCCTGCCAGAGTCGGACAGTGGTGTCTGCAGGCAGGCTAGAGGTCAAAGTGCCCATCTGCCCTGTGGTTCCCAGTGGGTCTGCCTCTCTCAAAGACTTGTCCTCACTCAGCCTTGTCTGGGGCTTGAATAAACCTAGGACAGCTCAGACCAAGTCACTCACCATGTCCACTGCCAGGTAGCCAGTGGTGAGTGGTTCCCAGCACTTCACACCCACTCCTAAGGGTTCCCCTGGCAAGAATAGGGTGACATGGGCCATCCCTTATCCTCATTACCACCTGATGACCCAAGAGGGCTTCAGTCTGGTTTAGATGCCACAAACTTGATATTCTTTGGTGTCTCCCCCAACATCAAGCCTAGAATAATCTGATCACTTCTGATTTGGGGTGGAAGAGGAGGCTCTGGTTCAAAACTGAATGCATATATAAATTAGTTATAGGTATGTACAGGTATATATACACACATTTGAGGTAAATGTAGACTCAGGTGTTTGGGATTGAACCCATGGGTACTTCACCACCGAGCCATACTCCCCTTTTTTTCTATTTAATAGTTAGGGTCTCGATAGATTGCTTAGGGCCTCGATAAGTTGCTGAGGCTGGCTTTGAACTTGCCATCCTCCTGCCTCAGCCTTCTGAGTTGCTGGGATATTGACATTGGTACACTTCACCAGTCTTACTCAGGTTTCTCCAGTGTGTACCATCAGACGGTGAAAACTTTAACCCAAGATTCCTGAGCTGCCTGTGTCCCCTAAGACACAGGAAGGAAAGAGGAGAGCAAGAGGAATGTAACATTCAGGACACGGCCTATGAACTAGGCTCCTTTTCTGCATCATCGTTTAATCGTCACGACAGCCTGTTTCACAGACACTAAGACTGGACACAGAAAGGGTGGGTGGCTGGGTGGACCTGGGTCCCGCTGCTGGGTAGGAAGTAACCCACGCCCCCGCCTCTACCGGCTGAGCACAGCCCAAGAGCCTGTCAACAAACACCGACGGAGGCCTTGTGGGCCGGGCGCAGGGTCCTGTCGTGAAGGGTCTGGGCTAGCACGTGGCCTGGGCTCCAACCAGAAGGGTGAGGGCGACGGACGCCCAGCGTCGCCCCCAAGTTCCGACTCCAACTCTCGGGCACCGAGGCGCCCAACCCGGGCCCGCCCGCGGAAAGCGGGGAAACCACCCGCGCCGCCTGCAGCCCCGTGATCTCCTCCCCGAGCTGCGCAGCCCTCGGCTGCCCCCTGCCGCCGCGGGGTGGACCCTGCACGCCCCGCTGTCCCCGCCTTCTCGCTGCCCACCCCCGCCTCCGGATTGGCTGCTCCGGAAGGCTCGGGCCGTTCACCTTCCGCCACCGGATTGGCTGCGCCCCGGGGTGAGGCCCCGCCCACCTCCCCGGGTCCTTTGATCACGCGCCCGCCGGCCCTTCCGGGACCCGGCAGCCAACCCTGGGTGTTCCTGTCGGGGCTGCAGCGGCGGGAGGTAAGGCATGGCAGGGTTGGATGGGCTGCCGAGCGCAGGCACGGGTCCACACGTCAGGGTGCCCGGATTCCAAGATGCCGAGGCGCGGGGCGGCCCCTCCACGCTCCCCCAACACTCCACGCCCCCGGCCTGAGCCTCCCAGCACGGTGGGAACTACCTTCCGCCCGCCGCTGCTGGCCAGCATTCTAGGAGCGGCCTGATGCGCTCCGCATCCTGGCTTGCCTCCTCGGTCTGGGACGGCGGAGCCTGTCGTTAGGTATGGGCAAGCCTGATACCCCACGGATACGGGGCAGGGAGCTCTACCTTGCCCTCTGATAGAGACCCAGGCAAACATGGGTCAGGGACCTTGGACAATCTTGGTGCAGCTGCTGCAGGACGACCTTCTCGCTTCTGTCTATGGGGACTGACCCTCTCCACTTCGCCTGTCAACCCTGGCCAGGAGGGGAGGGACCTGGGCGGAGTCCCGGGTGGGGAACGGAGTGAGATGACATCATCTCGAAGATAAGGTCCAGCCCTATCCACTGTGCACACACTGGTACATGAGACTGAGTGGGGTGATAAGGGGTGTCCGGGTTCTTGTGACACCAGGGGTAAGAAGGACATAGAGCCTACGCATGGAGCCTGTAGCCTGAAGTGTGGGGACTGAACCAGAACTGAGGCAGGCCCCTTCAGATGCTCCCATCTCATCCCTAGGTGCAGTCCACCCCTCCTGTTTACCTGATCTCCATTTTGCTCCACTGGATGGGTGCTAACAGCCCAATGTCCAGCTCTGTGACAGGACCTGGAAACCTACACCTACCCTTTCCCCAACAATTGAGACTCCCAAATGTTCATCCAGCATCTGAGCTGGGCCCCACCCTGACTTAGGGATAGGAGCTGGACAGGAAACAGATCCTGGATCTGGACCTTCCTTTGGTGCCCTTTCCACCCAGGATTGGCCAAGAGTCATTGGAGGATTACACACACAGTGTGTTTTTGTAGAGGATGCCTCATCCCAGGGTTTGACCTGGGGCGTTTTTTGCAGATCTTGGGCTCTGGGGGAGGGGCTGGGAATTTGGATGTCACTGTAGGAGCAATTGATAACCTCCCTTCCTCCTCCCCAGGGAGCCCTGTGGAGGCACCCTCCCGAGGCACCACTGCCCATGCTGACCACCCAGCCCTCCTGCTGCTGATGTCATGAGTAACACCACAGTGCCCAATGCTCCCCAGGCCAACAGTGACTCCATGGTGGGCTATGTGTTGGGGCCTTTCTTCCTCATCACCCTGGTCGGGGTGGTGGTGGCTGTGGTAAGGAGCCCCCCACATGCACACATAGACACACCTGTGCCCAAGTAGGGGCTGGGTGGGCCTGGTCAGGTGCACACAGCATCTTAGCTGTCCTTCTGAGGGAGTGAAGGGTGTGGAGTTGGGCCTCCTCACTGTGGGCCTTCCTGGGCTCAGCAGCCTCCACAGTGCTGTGTCTCTGTTACAGGTAATGTATGTGCAGAAGAAAAAGCGGTGAGTGTCCCCACCCCAGTCTGGTATTTCTTCCCATAGGATCTGAGTTGTCTGTGTGAGTGATAAAAACGCCCTTGGCCAGCCTGAACCAAGCCTGAAAGTCTGTTCTCCTTGCCTCATACAACTCACCCGGGAGAGGCCCCTTTGCAGCCACATTGTGTCCAGGACACGCATTTAAGTGCCCTGGCTGGGGGAGGGGGAGTGGCCCCAGGCAGTCAGGTATTTGATAGGGGTGAAGGTGGGGCTTGGGCTGAGCCCCTGCCCTGTTCTCCAGGGTGGACCGGCTCCGCCATCACCTGCTACCCATGTACAGCTACGATCCTGCTGAGGAGCTGCACGAGGCTGAGCAGGAGCTCCTCTCTGACGTGGGAGACCCCAAGGTGAGCACTCTTGGGTAGGGGAAATCAGGTGGAGATGAGGGAGCAATCTTCTCCCTCATACTCCTGAAACCAGGCCCCATCTTGCCCTAGGCCTCCCCAGTGGGGCACCTCCTCCAAGTGACAGCCCTCAGTGTCTCCCCCCACAGGTTGTGCATGGCTGGCAGAGTGGCTACCAGCACAAGCGGATGCCCTTGCTTGATGTCAAGACATGACCTGGTTCCAGGCCCTGACCTCCAGCCTTGAGGGTCCTGCAGGCTCCTGTCTTCACCCCACCCCACTGTTCCATCATCTTGCTCCCTTTAGACCCTCAGCCCTTTGTGGGCTGACCCCCACCCACCCCCAGGCACTGACAGATCTCATTTTGGGGGTACAGTGGCTGGGAACAGCTTTGCTTTCTCTAACCTGCCTGAACTGGGCCTTGGCACAAAACCCCAGGAGGGATTTGGAATTGTTTCCATGGTTACAGGACCCACATGTATAGAATTCAGTATATATATTTTGTAAATAAAATGTTTTGTGGCTAGGGGTGTGGTTGACTTGACTTCAAGAAGGGTTTAAATTACCTCTGCAGCTCCTTTCATTGCCATTTCCTCTCCCAGAAATGGCCTAAGGGCAGAGAGCCCTTCCAAGTACCAACTTTGCTTGCTTCTCGCCCCTCTACCTTGGCTAAGGGGCACACATTACAGAATGACTGTAGTCCAGAAAAGGATATTTTTTTATTCAAGTAACTGCAAATAGGAAACCAGAGGGGAGCCCCAGGCTGGGACAAATAATGGCCAACCTCTCCCCAACAGAACAAGGGGAGAAGGTGGCCCCTACACCCTTCACGGTCAACACAGACCCCCCCCCTCCTCACTCTGCTGCAGCATCCTAGGGGCAGGACCCCACCTTCCCTGGGACTGCGGTAGTAGGTAACCCAGCCTGCTGCACCCCAGTGCCCCTTCCCCCTGAGGAACACCTTGGGGAGGGGAATATGGTCGGAACAGAGGAGAGGGCATGGGGATGAGCGTCTGGCGCTGGTAGCAGCAGGTGACTGATGTCTAAGAATGAAACATTGAACAAAAACCAACACAACTGTCCAGAGGTAGTTTGTGAACAGAGGAAAAGATGGAACCAGAACCATGGGGGTTGGGAAGGAGGGGGAGGCAGCGTGGGCAGGGCAGGCTCCTTGTTGATAGCGCCCCCTCATAGGAAGGTCAACAGCTGAGAGTGGAAGCAGAGGATGGGCAAGTAGCCCCTGGCGTGCCTTGGGTGGCTGCCACAGGGAACCTGGGCAGTAGATGACCTATCTCCACCCCTGCACTATATACTCAGATCCCAGGGGGAGAACAAGGTGGTAGGGCCTGTGATAGGGGACAGGGGCTCCAACTCCTGCCCCCTTTCCCATACCCCAGAGGGGCTGTCCAACCTAGTGCAGGGCTCAGGTGGGGAAGAGAGTGGGGAGTTCCACCTGATAAGTTTGGCTGGGGGCTCCCTGGGGGCTCAGCACCCCTTCCCCATTGGCTACACCTACTAGTGCAGGTCCAGCAGGGGGGCATGTCAGAATGAGATGGGGTTTGGACCCCTTAAGGCCAGGGGAGCCCTCCCAGGCCCCTCTATGGGAAGCCAGAAGAACAGTGGAGCAGAGAAAGGGCCCTCAAACCAAGAGCCCAGATAGCAATGTCCCCACCAAGTGGGTAAGGACTAGCAGGCGCAGGGTGCGGCTAAGTGGGAAGTTAGCCTTGTCCAGGAGGGCAAGTGTGTGCGCGTGGGGGCAGGGTAGGAAGGGTCGCTGGGGACTGAGGCTAGAGGAAAATTGCTTCCCATGGGACCACAGGGGCCCTGCAGCGGCTGGTGTGCTGTGTAGTGTGCGGTGGGGAGGGCGCAGGGGTGGCGGGCCAGAGGTGTCAGTGGGCCTGGGGGAAGGGGAGGGCGGTGGGAGCGGAGTGAAGCTGTCCAGTCCCAGAAGAAAGCTGCTGCTCCTTGGGGAGGGAGCAGGCGGCACGGGCGGTCACTGTTCCTCTTCAGAGGACTCCTGCGAGATGCCCTCCTCTTCCTCCTTCTCCTGCAGAGGTGGGCAGAGCAGCTCTGGGTCTGGCCCCCTCCTCTATCCCAGAGGCCGTCCCCACCCCTCCCTGCACTCCCAGGCTCTCCAGAAGGGGGATGAGTCAGGGCTGAGTGTGTGGGTGACTCAGCAACCTCCAGCCCTGGGTTTCATTCATAAAAATGAAGAATTTAAAAGGGGGAAAAAAAACACACACACATGCTGCTCACACACAGCCAAAGCCAGGCCCCTCGGCCCAGGGGAGGGCAGGGCTCTGCAGAGGAAGTGACTGGCTCTCTCCAGGAGGGAGAGGAATCAGGAAGGGGCAGCAGAGGGCAAGCCCTGGGGTGGGCGCAGAGAAACAAGACGGCCTTGGCCCACAGGGCAGGCTCTGAACTGTGGAGCTGAGCCTGAGTCCTGAGTGGCCAAAGGCTGACCCCAGCCCAGGGTGGGGAGGAAGGGGAAGCGCACGCTGCCTGGGCTCACTCACTGGGCGGGAATGCTGGGACACCACAGGGCCCGCAGCCCCTGTGCCAGGCACAGACTCCAAAACAACTTGTTTCCTGTTACTCACTCCTGGGGCTTGGCCAGAGTGCCCCCTAAGCCTCCCCCACCCTATGGCCCAGCTCTAGCAATGAGTGCCTTGGGAGTGGAGGGGGCAGGTGAAGGGTAGGAAAGGGCGAGGAGCAGAGGAGACTGTGCATTCCTCAGGACAGCCTGCCACCAGGTACCTGGGAGCCCAGAAATGAATGGCACCTCCCCATGAGGGGAGGTGGGTCACAGTGTAATTCCCAACCAGCCTGGAACTAGCAGGGCTGAGCTGAGCTGCTTTGCCATTTTTGCTCTTTCCAAGAAGATCCTAGTAAGGGCAAACATTGCCCTACCCCCCCATCAAGGCTTTCCTTCAGCATCAACTAGATGACTCCCAAAGTCCATGCTAGGAACAGAGGGGCTGCAGAATGTGTGGGCGACCACTCCTCATGGGCACAGTCCTATGAAAACTCTGGCAAACCCCTTCCCTTCTCTGGACCCATGTGGACATGTGTCATGTCCTGGCATTCCTGTTGCTGCAGGTCAGGGACAAGAGTCTGTGCACAGAACTAGACACTGAATTCTTAACCCCCACCCCAAAATGAGCCACAGAAGTAAGAACACCTACCAGTTTCTTAGGTCTGCCCCTGGGTTTCCTCCCTGGAGCTGTGGTGGTTTTCTGGAGGGTCAGAGAAAATAGCCCGTAAGTAAAAAATGCTAGGAAGCCCCCACTCAGTGCCCAGTGCCCATTAGTGAGGAGAGGAAAGGCAGGTACAGAACTACCCACTGTGCTCAGGGCAACCCAGGACTCACCCCAAAGGCCCACCCAAGTCCAACTGCTGATGACTGGCCAGCCACACTTGCCCCCCACCCAACATACACACACGCCCCCTGCCCCCTCCTCCACCTGTGACTCAGAGGATATGAGTCGTGTCTCAGAAAAAATAAAACACAAAACAACCCTTCTGAAAGGCTCATGCCACTGGGAATCTGGCCTTCCCTGCTTGTCCCCACCTCTTTGGGCTCCAGGGACCCCAAGGGTGAAGGAGACATTCTCGGCCTAGGGCTGGGAGAAGCCCTTTACTCTCCCCATATCGCCACCTTTCTCCAGACTGGAAAGCCGCCCAAACTTCTGACTTGATTTCCCCACCATCAATGATGGGTCCAAGGCCACAGAAGAGACCTCAGTCATGACCCTGCTTCCCATGCTTAGCAAAGACCCACCACCCACCATGTACCAGGATGGGGTGGGGTGAAGAATCAGGACAAGCAGTCTCTTCCCAGCCTCCCTACAGATGTGCCCATGAAAAACCAGAGGGGCCTCTCTCCAGTGGCCCAGGTGGGGCCATTTCCCCTCAAGCCTCACCCGGGTCTTGGCAGCGCCCTTGTTTTTGCTCCCCTTTGGTCGGCCCCGAGGTCTCTTGGGTGTTGGCACTTCACTGGGTTCCTTCTGCAGAGATAGAAGGAGGCAGTCAGGGTCACAGCCACCACCTGTCTGTCCAAGCCCCTTCAGAAGACAGCCCTGTGCCCCACCCAGCAGGGTTAAGTCAGCAAGAAAATTCCTGACCCAAACAGAACCAAGGCAGGAGGCTGGCAGGAGGCTAGCCAGACGGGAGGCCAGCCCTTCAGGATTCAGGGCCGCAATGTGACCATTTTTCAAAGCCCTCCACCCCCCCCACACTTTCTTCCCTGGAGGTTTCTGGGACAATGAAATGACAAGAAGCCAGAAGACCTCTGGAAAAGATGTCATGGGCAGGAAGAAACTCTTAGATGGTCCTGTCCCTGATCTTGGGCAAAACACTTAATGTTGGAGCCTCAGCCTCCACCCTACACCCAAATCAATATGAGGCAAATATTTGGCACTAGCCTTGATCATTATCACCTTTCTCCCGTGAGACATGCTGAAAACTGGGGGGACTCCTAGAGAAGAGAAATTATACCTAGACTCCAGAGATCCCTACCACTGTTGCTGAATTTTAAAAGCCCAAGACAAAATAAAAAGCTTCTCCATAACACATAGAAGGGAGCTGGGGATGTGGCTCAAGCGGTAGCGCGCTCGCCTGGCATGCATGTGGCCCGGGTTCGATCCTCAGCACCACATACAAAACAAAGATGTTGTGTCCGCTGAAAACTGAAAAATAAAGATTGAAATCCTCTCTGAAAAATAAAGATTGAAATTCTCTCTCTACCTATCTATCTCTCTCCCCTCTCTATCTTAAAAAAAAAAATAGGACACTCTTGGGCTGGGGATGTGGCTCAAGCGGTAGCGTGCTTGCCTGGTATGTGTGCGGCCCAGGTTTGATCCTCAGCACCACATACAGACAAAGATGTTGTGTCCGCCAAAGACTAAAAAATAAATATTGAAATTCTCTCTCTCTCTTAAAAAAAAATGGAAGGACACTGTTAGGGGCAGCTCCAGGGGCCCTTTATAAGCATGGCCCTGTAACCCTGACCTCTGCCAAAAGGTGGAATAAGAGAGGCAAAGGGGGCTGGGCTAAGAGGATGAGTCCAGCACCCCGTCCTGAAGGTGCTGAATTCCACCACACAATCAAGACTCTTTGTCTCTTTGGGTACCAGGGATTGAACTCAGGGGCACTCTGCCACTGAGCCACATCCCCAGCCCTATTTTGTATTTTACTTAGAGACAGGGTCTCACTGAGTTGCTCAGTACCTCCTTGTTGCTAAGGCTGGTTTTGAACTCTGGATGCTCCCGTCTCAGCCTCCCGACCCACTGGGACTATAGGTATGCCACTGCACCCAGCAGACTCTTTCTTAATTCATAGTCTCCTGAGACTCCCTGGCTATAGCTGGGAAGACCTGCAGGTGTAACAACCTGCCTCGTGCTGAAGGGACAAGGCCAACTTCAATTCTTCTGATCCTCAGGAACAGGAAGTAACTAGGCTTCAACAACCATCCCTTGCTTGGGAGACAGCTTCCTTCCTGTGACAAGATCTCTGCCACATTAACAGGTGGCCACATTCCCTAGGGTGCCTAACACTGCCTAGCAATCACCCCACCCCACTATGGGACATTATAGGGTTACTGCCACTAATTACCCAACACCTTCAACTTCTTGGGCCTCATTAATGTTTACAGAGCCAGGGACAAAGCCCACCTGAGGACTACTTAAAGTGTGGCCTGCGAATAGGTGCTGGCCCAGGAATTCATTATGGGCCTGAGATAGTTAAAAATTGACAGTGTATAGAAACTTGTACAGCAAATTGACAAGGAGTAATCTTACATGCACTGAATCTTAGGATTAAAACCCTGGGAGATAAATCACTGACCTCTGTGTAGACCACTGGGTTGTTTCTGGCACTGGCTTTAAAACCCACCTTACCTTGAGTTCCTCAGGCCCCAGGACACTCTCCTAGGATGTCTGAAGGATCTGATTATACAGTTGTCATACAAGTTATGAGTACACGTGGGTGTGGGGATGACACAGAGACATGCAGGCATGATTCTGGACCCTTCCATGCCATGTCCACACTTACAGAGCCACCAAGCATCTCCCTAGCCCCAAAGGGTAAATCGAGGCAAAGTTTTGGACACCCACCTGGCTCCCTACCAGCGCTGTCCCGGGACTCACCGGAGGCTGCTTGCGCGGCCTGCCCCGGCCTCGCTTCTCAGTACCATCCTTTTCCTGCTTGGAGGCCAAGGGCTGGCTGGACTTTGAGCTTGACTCACTCATCTTCCCTCTCTATGGAGCAGGTGAAGAGCAAGGCTGGGATGCTGGAGACAGAAAAAGTAAATCTTAAACAAAACATCACGCTTCAGGCATCTTCTACCTCTCACCACCCCCACCACCCTGGGGCACACTGCAGGAACTGCCTGCTTCCAGAGGACCCCAGGACTCCGACCCTATCCTAGACAGAAGGTGCTGCCCACCCCATACATGCTACCAAGGAGTGGAGGGGTGGAGCAGTGCCGTTGGTTCTAATCAGCTCCTTATCTCTTTTTAGAAGGGTTCTTTGTTGTCCTGCAGCCACAGAGGTGGTGCCATGAGGTTCTGCCAGCCCAGACCTGGTAAGGCAGCCCAAGGACAAAGGTGAGGGGAAAATGGGATCCCACAAACTGCCAAGGACCCCTCCCTCTTGTCAGCAGCTGCTACTCTCTTGTGAAAACCATGCCTAGGCAGTTCTGAGGGGAGTCAAAGTCAAGTGGAAAAAAAGAAACCCTGGTATCTGCAGCCATGAATGTCATCCCCCTGCCCCTGCACTGACACTGCCTATCTGGCAAGGTCCCAAGCCTGAGGACCAGATGCTAAGAAGGGCCAATCAGAGTGTGGGGATGTCCACCAGCCAGTTCTCTCTGCTCTCTCCCAGGGCAAACTCTAAAGGATTCAGAGATGGATACAACTGAGGGAGAGAGGAAATGGCTGAATGTTCAGAGGGTGAGGGAAAGGAGCTGGGGATGTCCTCTCCCCCCAACCTGGCCCACCTGGAGACAGATGGGGCTCACTTACAGGAAGGGTGGGACTCCAGAACGGACCCTTCCTGGGAGACCTATGGCTCTACCAACCTATTAGGGGTGGGCACAAATGGCCCCACTAATGAAAGTCTGCCCATCTGTAAGATGGGGACAAGGCAGCACCGCCTCAACACCCTACCCCCCAGATCTTTCCAGACTATTGAGGTTGAACCAGGCAGTATTTAAAGAGACTTGGATGAAAAGACATCTTCACTCATCACAGTGAGAACTAAACTATTTGAAGATGTTTCTTTCCTCTTTTCAGATTTTGAGGCAATTTCCAATTTTAACCCAATGACAAGAAAACATTTTTGGAAACTTGATTTTTGAAGGGCTCCAACCCCCATTCTCAAGAGACCCTCCAGATAGCAGGACTTTGGTAATCGTTTTATTTTATAATATTTCAGACTTGGAGACCCTTTTAAACAGGGTGGTTTGATTTATCCTGCTCCATCATTAGTGGCTTGCTCTGCTCTGTAATTACAGGCAGTGATTAGGATCTCACATTACACCACAGGTCCCCCCTGAAACTAAACATCAAAATTAATCAGCTAAATGAGTGCTGACCTCACATGAGGTCTGCCTCAGGCCCTCTCAGAGGGGGTTCAGGTGGGGAACCAGTCTCTCTGGAAGCTCTCATGCTGTCTGGTTTCTCCACCCACCTCTGACTATAAGGGACCCCTTAATTCACCCACTCCCACTTTTCAGTTAGGTCCCCACTGAATGAAGGAGGCAGGCTCTGTCTAATGAGGCCAAGGAAGGCTCGTCTTTTCCACCTGTCTCTGAACATCAGGGAGGCCTGGCTTGGAGAAGCCACATTTCGGGCCCAATACCAATCCCTGTTTGTAATAAGCCCTTCTGAGCCTTAAACCTATCTCCTCCATACACCGTGCAGTGTGTGTGGCCCTTAAATGCTTTAGAATTCTGCAAAAATAATTCAGAAAAATTCTGGAAGCCCCATTATTTTCCAGGAAAAAAAAAAAGGGGCCCAGAGAAGCCCGATGAGTGGCCCAAGGTCACACAGCAAGTTGGTGAGAAGGATGGAGTAGGTTCTCAGTGGCTCTTCCAGTCCGCCACTTTGCATAAGGCCTAGGAGCTAGTTAAAACTCGATCGCCCCCAGCTCCAGACCGACCCTGGGTGACTCTGCTAGTGTCTGCAGCCGGCCTACAACCGCGGGCTAGCCGGACCAGGAGCTAGGGCGCGCGGGGGGAGGGGCGCAGGCCGTTCCTGCAGGCGCGGGAAACCAGCGCACCCCGACCGCATGCACCGCCACGCGGGTGCACCCGGCCCCACTTCCTGCCAGAGGGGGCACCCAAGCCCGCCTTGGGGCAGGAAACCTGGCGCGCGCTAGAGGAAGAAAACCCCCTCCCTCCCTACCTTTCCCGAAAAATAAAACCCCAGAAAAAAAAAACAGAAACGGGGAGTCAAAGGGACTAGTTCCAACAGAGCCCAGCAAAGCAGAGAAACCAGTTTGTGGGGGCGGAGGGCCCTGGGGGCTGAAGAGGCGCGGGCCGGGCCAGAGGTGGGGTCGGGGTGAAGCCCCAAGCCCAGGCCCGCGATCCGGCCTCATCTGCGGAGCGGCCCGGGGGAGAAAGGCCGAGAGAGGGCAGAGCCG